ACTTGATGAGACAAAGGACCTTCTCCATAGTACAAAAGTGCTGATGAGAGAAAGACACTAAGGATCAAATCTTTGTGATATTTTCTAGAGATCACCAAAGAAGAATTAGATGTTTAGAAAACAAACAGAAGTACAAGAAAGAAGCAAATTGGTAAACGTATTGGTGAAGACAGACTATATTCTGGAACTTCACATGACTAGTGAGTTTAAGTGGAATAAAATTATTATTCCAGATTTTTTTTTTATTTTCACTGAATTTCACTGAATTTCTAGAGTTGGAAGGGACCATAGAGATCATCTAGTCCAACTCCCCTGCTGAAGCAGGATTGCCTAGAGCTAGAGCAGGACTGCATCCAGGCGGGTCTTGAAAATCTCCAAAGAAGGGGACTCCACACCCTCCCTGGGCAGCCTGTTCCAGGGCTCTGTCACCCTCACCGTGAAGAAGTTTCTCCTCATATTTGAGTGGAACCTCTTATGTTCCAACTTGTGCCCGTTGCCCCTCGTCCTCTCAGTGGGAACCACTGAAAAGTCTGCCTCCCTCCTCCTTCAACCCTCCCTTGAGATACTTGTAGGCGTTGATAAGGTCTCCCCTCAGCCTTCTCTTCTCCAGACTAAAGAGTCCCAGCTCTCTCAGTCTCTCCTCATAAGGGAGATGCTCCAATCCTTGAATCATCTTTGTAGCCCTACGCTGGACTCTTTCTAGTAGTTCCCTGTCCCTCTTGAACTGGGGAGCCCAGAACTGGACACAGTACTCCAGTTGTGGCCTCACCAGTGCAGAGTAGAGGGGGAGAATGACTTCCCTTGACCTGCTGGCTACACTCTTCCCTATGCAGCCCAAGATACCATTGGCCTTCCTGGCCGCAAGAGCACACTGTTTACTCATTGCCATTTTACTGTCCACCAGGACCCCTAGATCTTTCTCTTCAGTAGTTGCCTCTAGCGGGTCCACCCCTAACCTGTACTGGTACCTGACATTTTTCTTCCCCAGGTGCAGGACCCTACACTTTTCCCTGTTGAACCTCATGAGGTTCTTCCTTGCTCAGCCCTCCAGCCTGTCCAAGTCTCGCTGGATGGCAGCACAGCCCTCCGGGGTGTCAGCCACTCCTCCCAGTTTGGTATCATCAGCAAACTTGCTGAGGATACACTCTGTCCCCTCGTCCAGGTCACTGATGAATATATTAAACAGCACGGGTCCAAGTATTGACCCCTGGGGGACTCCACTGGTTACAGGCTTCCAACTTGAACCTGCTCCATTAATAATTACCCTTTGAGTCCTGTCGCACAGCCAGTTCTCAATCCACCTCACTGTCCCCTCATCCAGCCCATACTGCCTCAGTTTCCCAATGAGGATGTTATGGGAGACAGTGTCAAAAGCCTTGCTGAAGTCAAGGTAGATGACATCTGCTGCCCTCCCCTCATCCAACCAACCGGTTATGGCATCATAGAAGGCTATCAGATTGGTCATACATGATTTACCCTTGGTAAACCCGTGTTGCCCACTTCCAATAACCCCCCACTCTTCAACTTGTTTGGAGATGACATCTAGAATGAGTCTCTCCATCACCTTCCTAGGGACAGAGGTGAGACTAACTGGTCTGTAGTTCCCAGAATAAATAGGAAGTGCTAGAAGCAGATACGTTTATCTGCCTTGACTCTTCCTGCCAACATTCAGGAAAGGCTATGTTGAGGTTTTCAAAAATTTTAGTGATAGATTTCTAGCTATGATATCAAATATGAGCATTTCTTTGTTATTTTTTTTTTTAAACAAAACTAAACAACCAAACCCAGTTAAGATGATGTTGATTAAACATATTTTTCCCAAGAGGAATTATGGTGTAATTTAGATTGGTTTTGATGGTTTTGTGTTGCTGCAGAATAAGTGCTAATCCTTAGTGACACTTGAGACTTGTGACCAAGTGTATTGAGTGCATTTCTGACTGGGTTAATCCTATGCAAGAAATAAAAAAGGGCTTTTAATTTTCTGTTGTTCCTTCACATTTTTCTAAGGGGATTTTTCTACAGATATAGAAGATAAAAGTGAAAGACATATTTATTGCTTACGTACATTACTTCTGGTGAGGACTAAATGGAAATAACTTAGTTGAGATCAAAGAATATCAGATATTTCTTGGAAATTTTAAGAGTAACTTAAGAGGATTTGTATATTTTCTAGAATTCGTGTTAGTTTTTGCTGTTTTCTAAGCTAAATGCAGGGTTAACAATTACGCTTTCATATTCATTATTTTCATTTAAGAGAGGAAATACAAATTTTGCTAATTAGTTTAATACCCCACTTAATAGCCAGTAGTAGATTTTTACAAGGATAGTACAACTAACAGTGCAAAAAAACCCCATAATGAATGGACCCCTATCATAAGAGGTTCTCAGAATCTGATCAACAGTGATAATGTGGGAACTTACAGAGAAAATAAATGTTTTCAGTAGCTTGGAATTTTTCATGTATGCAAGTATTGTCAAAACCTAGCTAAATTCTTGTGGTTAGTTGTCTTTTAAAAAATACCCACACTTTTCTGACTGTTTCAGTTTTCTGCTTATAAATTGGTTTCAGTGAATGTGCTTTTGGTTTTGTTACAACAGAAGATAAATAAGAATGCTTAAATAGATTGTGGGAGCATTTATATAGCATGGGTGTTATATCTTCTGTAACATAACTTTGTCTTATACATACTGCTTACAGAAAAATAAAATTCTATGTCAGTTCTTTATTTCTTTGTATGAATGATGCTATTTAATATTGGATAATGAGCCAACTAATTTTTTTTTTCCTGCGTGAACTTTGTAAAATATTATAAGAAAGTTCTGTTTCTAGAGCATAAGCTTAGGAAGCATGATGGTAAACACAAAGAAATAAAATCATGACAACCCAAAGATCTTAAAGGATCATAATTTTCACTTACTTTTATTCACAGTAGAGTTGTATTATTAGTCTCACAAATATTCAGTTTTATTATTATGGCATTTCCATTAAAAAGCTTTTATTTATGTTTTCTAAAAACTGTTTCTGAAAAAAGGTTTGGGTCTTTCTTCGCTGCCTTTGAATTTCTGTTCTTATCCAAAGGGATTTTGTGATTGAATCTTAGCTTTGTCAAGACGTAAGTTACAAAATTTCACTTAAAAGGTTGCTTACCTTTGGGGTGTATGATTTTTTTAGATAAGTTTAGTTCACATTAATCCCTATTTAATATGATTGTGCTTGATAAGTGGTCTTCAAAAACAGTTTCACATAAAAAAATAATTTGTCAAGTGAAAAAAACCCAACCAGGCATTCATATTGAAGGGTATGGATATTTTGTCCTTACAGTTTATCTTGTATGGAGGCTAAAGGAGGAAGGCCCATGGGGTAGCTTTTAGAAACAGTACTGCTGTTTTACACATAAAAAAGACTTAAACTACAATTAAGTTCTACCTAATGTTCTTGTGTTTCTCCCATTTGTGGAATCTTGTGATTCCAGGCATGGTGGAACCTGCCTTGGTTCAAGGTGGTTGACTGAGACCCAAGTCATTGTTTCTTAGTAAAGTCTTAGGAGCAAAGCCTCCTGGTCAGGTGTTGGTCAAGTAGACTCTGACTGCAGAAAACGATCTAGAATGAGCCTAGAGAAGCCGCAGAGCTGTCAGGAGAGTAGTGTTCACCCTTTCAAAGTGTTGTTTCACCTGCCCTTCTGCTTTTTCCTTCCTTTCTCCTGTTGGGACATGCTGCATATCAGTTGCTCAGTTGCAAGAAAACTGTTTGCTTCAGATGTTCTCCCCCATGATGTGGCTGGGAGTTAACCAGCCTTTTGAAGTCACCTATCTCTGTGTGAAACTTGATGACCCCATCACTCTTCTCAAGTATGAGACAGATCCTTGTTTCTGTTTGTTTGGGATTTTTGTGGGTGGCTGTATTGGGGGTTTTTTTGTGAAGTCTTTGATGGCAGGAATGTGAAATTTCCACTTATTTTCAGGAACTTTGAGTTCTGAGAGACTTGCTGTAGGAATTTCAATACCCAATTGTACTCAACTTGTGCTGAATCTGTACCTATGTGTGTTTTAGTCAGGCTGCATTCAAAGTTTCTTGAATGTGTCAACATTTTTAGTCTAGAAGATTGGAGAGGATGGCTGTGTCTGCCTGGTACTACTAAAAATCTTCCAGTTTTAGTTTGTGTATCCAAAAAGATAGACATGGTATATGTTCACGTACAGCAAGTATTCCCCAGAAGCAAGGAAATATATATTGTTTATCAAAAACTCTAACTTGAGCCCATAGAGTATGTCACATCAGCAGTTGAAATGGGATTGCTGTTAAGGTGGGTATTCCTAAGTTATTCTGCATCTAATTAGCACATGTAATGATGGTAGAGAAGATACAGCAGGATTGGGCTTCAGTGTATCTTAGTAACACATAGCTTTGTCCTGGCACAGGGAACCTTGAAGTCAATGGTGCTGTGTCTTGAAAACTTAGGTTTTCTGTGCTTGTTAGGTTAGTCCCAGTAAGGATATTTATGTGCCTGTGCTGCCATCACACTTTGACCTGTGCTATAAAAACTACGATAGTGTCATTTTGTAAATTGATACACAATACATCAACATTCCTTTTAGATACGTTCTTACAAAGCAGATGGTGCTGATTAGTACCTGTAGTCCCATGTCCTGTATATTTTTGTATCAGTCAAATGGAACAAGTCCAAACAAAGCAGTCAAACTCGTGGCTTTCCTCTAAATTCAGAAATGGGAAGAGTATGAAGCTGCAGTTGGTTGTACCAAATGATTGTCCTTCTGTTCTGGAAGGATTGGCAGGGGAAGGTCACAGCCCCTAAAAAGATTACTCTGACGTGATTGTAATTCCGCACAAAATATGAAAACAATTCCAAAAAAGGCATTGTGATTATACTGAATGGTATGTTTTCCTCCAGTATGTAAGAGAGAAAAAGAAGATTCCAATCAACAATTGGTTTATCACTTTTGGATTTTAAGGTAATGGTGTTGTCTTTCTTACTCTACAGCGTTTCCTTGATATGACGTTTGGAGCCGGAGGTCATACCAGAGCTCTCCTAGAGAAAGCCAGCGACATTACGATATATGCACTAGACAGAGACCCCACGGCCTATAAAATAGCTCAGCAGCTTTCAGAATCATACCCGTAAGTTGTCTTCTCCTGTCTTAAATGTGGTCAAGATGAACTTAATTCTGTGGTACTAGATGCACAATTTAATATATTTTTATAGTTTTAATACATAGTTTTTAATGGCTAATTGTAAAATAGCATTATATGTTGTATATACCCTGTTATGTAGGACATCCAATTCGATTTACTTATGACTTTGCATGGAAATTCTTCTGAGGTTTTTGGAGTTGAATGCATTTTCTGTGCTCTGTTAATTTTGAGTATGCATCAGGTATCAAATTTTATATTTAAAAGTTTATTTGAAAAAGATTCATGTGCTCTACTTGCTTTGAGATAATTCTGACAGCAGAGTTGTATAAGAGCATACACTCTGTGGTAAATAGTTCCCAAAAAAGGATGGAATAATAGACTTTTAAATCAAATAATGAGGTAATTTAAATATGGCTTATGAATATTTTAATTTTTAAAGAACAAAACCTAATTAATTCAGTATAAGGCTTGCTAAATATTTTGCCACTGGCTTCATAAACTACTAAACAATTTAATAAGCTATTTCTGTGTAAAGCTCATACTTCAATTTTCTTTTTAAATACAGTGCTGAATTTACTAAGGAACAATTGGTAAATGCAAATTTTTAGATTCATTTTTTTTTTAGTTAACAAAGTTCTTGTTCCTTTATTTTATTCAAGACACAGCACGGTTGGAGCATGAGTAAATGCCTGCAAAAGTGTACATAGAGTGGAATATGAGCATTTCAAAAAGTGCTGTTTAAATTTGACAAAGACGTAAAAGTATGTAGATACAAAATAAATAATATTAAATAATTAAATTTTAGGAAATTTAGGGCAAGTAGGAAGGAGATGACAATTACTGTCAGGTTGAAAAAATTGCAGTAATTATTTCAAAAGAGCTTTTACATGAGGAAAAGCAAATATTTCCAATAAGGAGAAAACTGGAAGAGGCAGATTAAGAAACACCTGGTTGTTCAGTCATGTTTCCCCATATAAAAAGGAGTTCTAAGGCAGCAGTACTATTCAAGCAATGCAGAAGGTATCCCTCACCTTTTCCAAAAGAAAAGGTTAAACTGTGCATTCCTTTCTTCAAGTGCCATTGTCAGATGTTCAGTAGGAAAAATGCAATCGTGTGACAATAAAGCATAACTCAGTTTCTAGTCATCCTTCTCTGTAAGACCACTTAAAGATATTTCTCTAAATTTTCAGTTCATTATGGACTGAAGTGACATGCAGTGTATGCTTATAAATTTATGGAATTTGTCTCTCAACTGTTATTTCTCCAGAGAATGCTCTTTTTGACAGAATAGTGTGGAGAATGTTGGCAAGGAAAGTCCGTTTTCTTTTAATATAAGTCTGCAAACACGTTCCACCAGACGTCATGGGAGTTGTAAAGTCTTCTGTTCCTTGTGTCATAGAAAAAAAATACATATAGTCCCAATTGAAGCTAATCTTTTAGATAATAAAAATTTTCAGAAATGTTCCTACAACACAAGACAGTGATGAACAGTCCTCTGACTCAATATATGTTTATCCGTAAAGTATCCTATGCAAACCTGGCTGTGAAGGAAATTTATTTTCCAGAGAGATGAAGAGATTTTAAAACTGATAGTGTCATTCTGCCAGTGACTGACATTGTTAATTCTCTGCTTGCTTATGTTTGTGAGCGGATGAGCTTTAATCAATATAGTATTGTAGTTGATGTAGTTTAATATGGCTTTATAATCTAGTTCCTACTTTTGTTTAAAAAAATCATATAAACTTGGTTACTTGGACTGTAGACATGGTGTTGTGCACCTTTACAGACACAAGTTTTCATCAGAATTAGGTGGTTTCTTAAATAGCATCGTGTTAAGTTGTTAGTGAAAAGTCTTAATCACTGAAAGATGACTGGATGCCCCTTGAATATATATTGTAAGATACAGAGCAGTATTCTTATTTGTTTTGGTGTTTTCCCTCATCTCCTGTCTTTCCTATTAGAAAGAACAGGTGGATCCTTTTTCAGAAGGTAAATATATCTTTTTTCATAATAGCTTATGTTGAAAAGTAAGGTAAAAGAATGTTCGTATAAGTGCTCATCATTAATCTACTTTCCTTGGAAAGTTAGTTGCGTAAAGCATTGTTAAATTAAAAGTGGGAAGGAGGAGACAAGTGTATCATTTCTAAATAAGAGGTAAAGCTGGAGTTTTGTAACAAATCAGTTGTAAGTGTAAAGGATTACTTATGAGATATGCAGCTTTCACAAATGGATTTTTTTCTTTCAGTGTTCATTAAAAGATGGTTGATCTAATAGTATGGAGTGTTACTGTCTATTTTCTGCACTGTGTTAGAAATAAATCTTTTATCTTAATTTTATCAGTTTAATTAAAGTCTGTGTTGGCATCAAAAGCTCGGCAAATTCATCCAGTTGACGTCTTTTATCTGGTCAATTCTATTCTCAGGTAAAATAGTTCCCTCATGTAGTTCACCAAGCAGCCACAGAAATAGTTGTGCTAGCTTAAAAGTGGCAATGGTGGAGTTGTGGAGAGAGATGTAGGGCTGTCCCTTCTGGAAGAAGCACAACCATAGATGAAACTGGCTGAAGTGCAACACAGAAGTGTAAACTTCTCCATTGTTTTTCTGTTCTAGGGGTTTTTTGACCTCTTCTGTTTAACATTGCTCTTTTGGGAGAGGTTACTTGACTTGCTGAAGGTTGGAGGTGATGTTATGGAACCATAACCAGTAAAATCTGATTCCCTCTATGTCTGACGTTGTGAATGCAATGGGCAAATTGAAAGTCATACATCAATGGCATTTTCTGTTGCCATTTTATTTCTACTTAAAATGTTACCTGTTTAATTTGGGATGTTAATAAATTCCAACATATCAAGTACATGAGGGATCTTCAGTCTTGCAGTAGTATTTACAGTAGTCCATTCTACCATAAAAAGAACTTAAATTTGAAATATTCAGTGTTAATTGCTATTGCTTATCCTGGTTAGATGCCATTAATAATCTTATTAAAATCATGTAGTTCCGACTATTGCTTCATTTTTTTAAAGCATACTATATCTGTCTGTATCACTGAATTACAAGATTATTAAAGCTCAAGTTGCAGAAATATGCCCAAAGATATGGTTGAAAGAGGAGATAAGTATGGCTAAATTTCAGGATTTTTCTATATTCAGCACTAATAAATGAAGTCCTCCTTGTACTTAGCCAAAAGACAGTTGGAGTAATAAGTCACTGAATGAGAACACTAAGGAAAAATACATCTCATGTTTGTATTTTAAATTTGTCTCTTTGCCTTATGATAGTGATTTTGTCAGAACTAAAATTTGAAGAGGGTAGAGTTCCAACTGCAATCTTTGCATTCATTTAGCCTCTCTGTTTATTATTTTTATTTTTTAAAATATGTAGTGCTGCTTTAATAAGGAGAAAATGGGTCAGGGCCCGTTAGATATTCAGTGTGTGGGTGGGAATCCTTTGACGTGCTTTCTGGGGAAGCCTCTAACTTGGGAATTGCTGCTGAGAATCCAGGAGAACAAGATAAAATTTAGTCAGTAGCAATATATATTGAAAGTAAACCCTTTCACACCCACTGAAAGGGAGAGGTTAGAGAGGTGGCTGAAATCTGGCAGTTAACCAATATCATTGCAAGCTTTTAAGTATGAGAAACCTACGCAAAGCCTATGCAGAGGAGACAGTATGTTCTTTGTAATTCTCTGAGCAGAATAAGAAATTGTGCCCCAAAAGTAGGGATAAATAGTATAAAATTCCTTATACAATTGAACTACCATTTTATTGTAGTTCTAAAGTAATATTGATGTCATGATGCTTCTGGGTTTTGCTTTCAGGGTTACACTGTTTACAGAACAAGTGGGATAGAACCATCACCTGTGCCTTGTATGTTCTGGGGAAAATAGAAAATATTTTGCTCAGTTCCAGGGAAGACAGAACTACTGATTTCAGTTGCAATAAGCTTATTTTAAGTGCTTGTGAATTGTAGCTGAGTCTGTAATATATATTGATGCTTTTGTTACTATATGTTATTTATATAGGTTACTACTTAATTCTTGACTGTAGTACACAAGGGATATAATTAACAGTGTGTAAATCAGGCATATTCATTATAATCATGCCTTGACTATATATTAGTTAGCTAATTAGTTACCTATAGTTTTATTTCTTCCTAAAGAATTCTCTGTGTATGTCAACATCTGGCTGCCTCTCCAATGCAGGCACTGTAGGTAAATGAGTTGCCTTAAAGATGAGATGGAAAAATGCAATTGAGAGCACTAAAAAGAACTTTAAATGGCATTATATTAAAATAGTGCTCTTCTGTCATTTATTTTGTTCCCCCAGAGTTTTACTTGGATAATAATAGTCATAAAAATTCTTTTTTTTTGTTGCTGAAGTTCTAGCTGTGCAGGCTTCAGAATGACAGGAAACCTTTACTTGCTTTCATGCATATGATCTGATCCTTCAATACATTTAGTTTCTGGTTCAAATTTGAGCCCAATTCAAAGCTACCCTGACTTACAAAATATGTGCAACAGCCTGCTTCTAGCAGTTGTTTTTCTCCCCTTTTTACTCTTTACATTCTTTAGTAACTTGGCCTTTAGTTCTTCCTTAAAACCTTGTCAGTTTTCTTTTATGTAGCTTAGTTATAGATGTTTCACTACCAACATCACATCACTGGAAACTGCAATTAAATCTTTTATGTGCATATTTTTTAATTTTCCTTTTCTTTATGGACGTAATGATTGTGTTTTAATCCATTGTAAGGGCTCAAAAATCTTTACTGTATACAGACTGCGGTCTCATAATTTCAAGTTCAGAAAGTGTTTCTATTATAAAAGTATTGCTGGGACTGATAAACTCCTTCTCAGTGGTTCTCCAAGAACTCAATCTTAAGTGAATGGGCGCAGGCACAAGCTGGAACATAGGAAATTCCATTCAAATATGAGAAAAAGCTTCTTTATGGTGAGGGTCCAAGAGCGCTGCAAGAGGCTACCCAGGGAG